CTCCTCCGGGTAGTTGCCAGTCGACATTGGCCGGCTGATGGAATTCGGAGGAGGCCTAGTCTATGGGATCTTATTGGTCTAGTGGAGGGGTCTTTCCCCTTTGGCCCTTTCCTTCACTTTTCCCTTCATTCATATAAACTCAACAGACCTTCTGCCATGGCCACCAACAGCAGTATATTGTTTGTGGAAGTATCTCCCCAATGGCTGGGGTCAAACGAGGGCTTGCCTTCAGTGGCACATCAGTGCATTGTCTTGTTTCCTCTCCCAAAATGTCTCCTGAGGCAGTGACTACAAATTATACTTGTTTGGACCCCATACAGTAACCACATGCCTTGGGGGACAAAAGAGCGAGATACTGCATTTTTAGGTTTCCTGACTGGATCCAAACATGGAAGTAGGCGAAAGGTATAGCTCCTCTTCTCATCCCCTTCTAGATCTTAATAAGGAAAATCCAGACAAATGAAAAGGGGCTGCCCAGTTCCCACCCATCCCCCATTGTACAGTGTACTCAGGTAGCTCCCCTCAGGACTGGGTAGATGGGGAAAGGGGTAAGTTGTTTCTGGATGAGGAAGAACAACAGTCTTTTCTTCAAATCCATCAAGTGCTTCCAAAAATAATCAGATCTTCCTTAGTATTTCAGGAAACCTCTTGGCCTCAGGAAGTCAGAATCTGTCACTCACTCATATCCCAAGTCATGTTCTTGAAGTAGAAAAGGATTGTGAGGGATGGATCCTCCATGCTCTTGAAACCCCAAACTTCCCCTCAACTAGAATGTCTCATATCTCTACTGTGAATATCCCTGTGACAGAAATTTCACAAAGATATGAAATATGGATCCACAAATCCCCAAAGACAGGAAAATGGAGATCCTGGACAGAAAGCAAATATTTTCCCAGCTATAACAACCACCCTCTTTGTGAGGGGAGAGACAGACTTTACTTCTTCCCTTCCCATAAGGCAACAGTATATAATACAACAAATACGTAAGTTTATTGAATAAAAGCTTGAATATAATTGTTCATTTAGTATATTTCTCAATTCTAACACAGCTAAATAGAGGTACACATTGCTGATCAATCCAATTTCCCCAAATAATGGAAAGCAAAGATGTTATCTAAATCAATTATCAGTTTCTAAAGTTCTTTTAAAGGTCCTTGACTAGATTTCCTAGAGTGGAAAAGACAGTGAGAGAATTACAAGGCAAAAGTATCAAACAAAATATAATAAATAAGCTCTTAAACTCTAGATGCACTCTCTTCATTAACTCTTCACTCAGAGTTCTTCATCTCCTGTTTCATAGCATTTATAGCATCAGACCCGTGGTGGTGAACCTACGGCATGCATGCCAGAGGTGGCACACACCTCTCTGGGGGCATGCCTGCCGTCGCCAGCTGCTCTTCTGGTTTCCAGCGCACACGTGTGCTCGGGCCAGCTGGTCTTCGTGGGTGCCGGAGCACCAGAAAATGGCTGAAAAACAGCCCACAAAAGCCCCCCCCCCAAAACAGGCATGTGCGCATCGGCCAGCTGGTCTTTGGGTTTCCAGTGCTCCAGCTGGTAAGTGTGTCAGAAACCCAAAGAGCAGCTGGATGGCATGTTCATGCCTGGTGTTTGGTTGTTTT